AAAAAAAAAAAAAAAAGATAGATGGACAGATGAAGGGATGAAAGAATGAAAGATGAATAGAAGGATGGGTAGATGAATGGACAGAAAGATCAATCTGCGCACATGGATGGATGGATCCAACAGAGGGAAGCAGATATTGAACAAAATGAAAGCATTTGGGGAAACTCAAGGGAGCACCATGCAAAGCCCCAAGACACATTGCAAAGGGGAAAGACAGAGAAAGATAAAAGGGGCCTTCAATTACAGAGGGTGAATGAAGTACTCAGGCCAGAAAAGGCATCCAAGGTTGAGCTGAAGGAGAGAATTTGGGGATCCAACTCTTACCCTTCACAAGGGCCCTCAAAACAATGGTCTCAAATTCCTCAGAGCCATCCTCAGATGAATAGACTGTCAGCAGCTCCCTCCGGGTCATAATCCTCTCTACCTGCAGAACACCAAATTCTCCATCGCCAGCCCAAACTCCTCCTGGACTTGTCCAGAGGAATGCAGGAGACCATTCTCCTCCAGGATGTAGAGCCTGGGAGTCTGCACCCCCATTACCTCATCCCTCTTACCCATGAAGCCTGGTCCCCAGACCCCTCCCATCTCAGGATCCAGAATTGGGCAAGTGTCATACCTGGGCCTGTAGAACCTCGGGATCCCCTTTGGGGAAGAAACGCCGAATCCGATCCCGGGCTTCACCTCTCCTGGCTCCCCCACTCCCTGGGGCCAGGGTGTCTTCCAACGTCTCTACCAAGCAGTCTGCAGCTCCCCCAGAGCCAGCCACCAGGAGGCAGGGGAGCTGAGCGTGGGTGGCATTCTCTATCTGCTACAAGATGAAGGGGAGAGTCAGGTCCAGGAAGGTAGGATGGTTACCCTCCCTGGAGTACAGGCCCTAGCCCCTCCTCCACTAAGACTCAGGACCAAGGAGTACTGGTTGCCAACCCCAACCCCCACTTTGGCACAGGCATGTGGGCCTTTATACCTTCAACATCTCCTCATCACCATCAATCAGGAGGAGGAGGACAGGGATGTCAATTCCAGTCCCTGAGGAGGGAAGAAAGGGGTCTTGGTCACCTCCTATCAGCCTCTGTTGGGAATGGGAGAGAACCACTTTTCCCAGGAGTCCTGGAGTAAATGCTGGCCTCTTCCTAGTCCTCTGCTCTGAGGCTCACGGGAATTGCCCTTTCTTTGAGCACTTTGGGAGGGGCTAGATTTTGAAGATAGTATTGCTTAACTTCCCAAGGGAGGAAGGGGCTAAGGACCAAGACTGCTGAGTCCCAAGATGAAGCAAGTGTTTCTTTCAACTTTTTTTTGTTTGTTAGTTTCTCTTTCTTTCTTTCTTTCTTTCTTTCTTTCTTTCTTTCTTTCTTTCTTTCTTTCTTTCTTTCTTTCTTTCTTTCTTTC